GGAGAAGTTATGCAAGTCGAGGAGATGGAAGAGAGGCTTATGATTTCAGCCAGATAATGTAGAGAGGATACATAATCAAACCAATTGTCATAAGGAATTGAGTAGTCATCATCTTGTTTTTCGTTCTCTCTCAATGAGCCTTGGATTTTTTGGGACAAAAAAAGAACCTATTTCTCTAGAAGCCTTGGATAAATGTTGGCAATCAAGTCTAGAAATAGTTGTGCAAAGCACATATCTGAAAGGATCATCCTGCTTGGCCGGGGCCCATTTGAAATTATCCAAGTACATGCGAAGAAAAATACGATTGAATTAAAAACACATGGGCATGCACATCTGAAGTGATCCCAAGTAATTAAGTAGTTGATATTTTCTATTCCCCAACTTCCAATCCAAATCACGCAATCATGAGTCAACATTTATTGGCAGAGCAACCCATTTCCGTGTTTTTCAATTGAGTAATTGTCCTATCAAGTGAGAGAAAGCAAAATAAAACACGAGTCACTATGCAATTTTTATCCCTCTGGTGATGAATAGACTTGGAATCCACATTTTAGATATATAATCTAAGAATTGAATAGTAAAATAGGAATAAACTTACAAGAATAGCAAGGCAACGACGTTGATAAATCCAACCCTGAAGGAAAATAACTCCACCAATCTACATATACCACCTAAGGTGCAGGAGAGGAGTTATATTTCCCCCACCAATCAATGGAAGTGACTTGTATTATATCTTTCCCTTTGACAACAAACTTTGCAACTAAATTGACCATAAATTTGAAAACCTCCGAGGCATATTTATAGCAAAGTGATAATGGAGCAGTTGTGTAGAAACTACTATAAGAAAGATAACTGATCAAATGGAATGATATTTTCCTTTACTTAATAAGAGATTGAGGTGTATATAAGGTTTCTAATTGAGTCAACCAATAGGCAAGTGACACGCAATTTCAAAAATGATGATAGGTGTAGATAGTATCTTTTTATATTATCTAGCTACTTGTCTCCAAAAATTCACAACAGTTGATACCACCAAATATGGAAAAATCCGAACAATTAACTTATCTTGATACATCAAATAAAGTTTGAAATTTTCTAAGCATGATTGAGAAGAATTGAAGATTGCTAAAAAAAATTATAAGATTGATAACCAAATAAGGCACGACTTATAACAGGCTTGTAAGATAGCCAAGAATGATGGTTACAATTCAACTCCCTGTACTATTTGTCCATTGGCTTGATTGTAAAATCTCATATTTTTTGTCAGTAATCTTCAATTCTTAATGTGGTTGAATGATTCATTTGCTCAAGTCAGGGGGCAACTGCTGCTTATGGACCCCATGCCTTCCATCAACAAGGTATTCTCTTTGGTTTCTCAAGAGGAACATCAATGCTAATATCGGTGTTACTGGAATCAGTGGCATTCTATGCAAAAATCGATCCTAAGAGAGGTAGCTCGGGATAGATGCATAGCAAATTTCACAGAAAAGGAAAGGCCCATGTGTACTTATTGTAAACAGGCAGGACATTCAATGGATAAGTATTACAAATTGCATGGTTATTCTTCTGGTTTTAAGGTAAAACAAATATTCACTGGTCCACTATATAACCAGTCAAGACAGGTGGTTGCAAATCAGGTGGTATCTGATTCTAATTCAGAACAAGATAAAATGTGACAGGAGATTTTATGCAGTCTTTGAATCTAAATCAATACTAGTATGTTGTGTTTTTGATACCCAATAAATCCCGATTATGATGTTAATGTGGGTAATATATTTTATAGGCTTAGTCCGATGAATGAAATAAGTCTAGCAATCAAGTCCATGAGCTTCACATAGTCCAATTATATCCCCTCTTGAATGACTTGAGTCTTGGTCCATTTATCCTTTTTAATGGTCCAATTAAAAAGCCTAAACCTTGCATATTTATAAGAACTAAACTCTAGCCACTTTCTTGCATGATTTATGTGGTTTGTATGAGAAAGGAGAATCCTGGCTGCCCCTTGAAGTGCGTGAAAAAGGGTCCTTAGAAGTGTCTAAAACGCTCGTTTACTTTGTGTAATTAGTGGTTCATTCATAGCCTACCTTGGTGGGTTTTTTCTTGCCTTTGTGACCACAAATCATCACAATTTCTTGTCCTTTGTAAGATTGAATAACAATCGAGGTGAATTATATTGGTTGTGGATCGGAGTCGGTTGAATTGGTTGTTGGTAGAGAAATGTACGTTGGACTAAACCCGGAAAACACCAAATTGAAGATCCTTGGAGAGCTTCCGCAATATTTGGCATCAGAGCTTCAAGGTGGTGGTTTTGGTTTGTGAAACATACTAAAAAAGTCTAGAAAGTCGACTGAAACGAAGCAAAAATTGAATCGAATACCACTGGTGTGACGTGTAGGTCAAGGCGGTGCCGACGGTCAGGAGTGTGTGGTCGACGACGGTATGTGAAGACCACGCGCAGAAAAGCCTAGTCAGCACGTGAGGGCGCATGGGTCATTTTTAGTCGACGGTTCTTCCAGGTAGTTTGTTCCTAACGTGATTTCTGATATTTTGGTGTTATTAGTTTTCTATTTTAGGTTGTGCAGTAGAATCTGGAAAGAGTTGTTCTTCGAACATTCGAGACTCGATCTGATTTGTTGGTTACTGCAGTTTATAGAGACTTTAGGATGAATAGTGGTGGTCCTAAAGTGATAAATTTGCGTCTCTCATAATTTACGAATTCAGATTGGTTCACTCTAGTACATTGGCTTATCTTAGTTTATATTTCAGGATTAGCGCATCATCGTGTAGGGTGACATTAGGTTTATGGTTACGGGAAGGAATAGCATTGCTTGTGCTAGAAATTTAGGAATTATTTGTCATATTTTAAAGTGTTGAGTTTTGATTGCAAGTTGTTAGTTGATTTTGTGCTTTAACTGTTATATCGTCACTACGTGAGAATGTGTTGTGTGAAAATTCTAACTTTTGTTTACATACCTTCGTGATGCATTGACTATCCTGTTAGAACACCTGGACTTGACCCGTTTGAACATTCCTCGATCTAAGATTGTGAATTTTACGAAACCCTGAGAATCTAGAACGGTGTATATTACGGTCGTAGGATAACTTTGTGTGACCTATCTGTGTTTTTGGTTGTTCTATTTATTAAAAATGTTTTCATACTTTGAAGTTGAAAATTTTAATGGAAAAAAGGATTTTTCAATTTGATAACAAAAGATGAAGGGTGTTTTGGTCCAACAAAAAGTTCCAAAAGTTATAGATGGTTGCTAACTTAACATAAGCACAAAAAGAAGAGTATTATGAACTTGCGCACGAAAAGAAGTTGAAAAACTCGATTCTACTAAAGAACTTTAGGAAAAGTTGGAGGACTTATATTTGCTTAAGTCCACTCCTAATAAATTGTAATTGTTTGAAAGATTTTTTAGCTTTAAAATGGATCCTTCAAAGGATCTTGACGATAACTTGGATATCTTTAACAAATTAGTTCAAGACATTGTTAATTGTGATAAAAAGGTCTCTGAAACATATAAGGCTATCATCTTGCTTAATTTCATACCTGATTCATAGAGAGAGGTTAAAAATGCAATTAAGTATGGTAGGGATACCTTAACACGTGAGATTGTCATAGACTCATTTAGAAGTAAGGAGATGGAGATTAAGGCTGAAAAAAGAAGATAAGAGGAGTGGTAAATTACATATGATGTGGAGTAAGGATGAAGTTTAAGCAAATAAATTTAGGTAGAACTCAAGATGGTAGTGATTCGAATAGTGACTCGAGTGATAAGGATAGTAAGAAGAAGAGCAAGGGACGGGACAAGTCTAGTGGTAGATGGTGTTACAAATGTGGTAAGTCTGGACACTTTATTAGGGAATCTCCCAAGAAGAAGGATAAGCTGAAGGTTAAGATGAGGAGAATTTGTCTTTAGGGTCAAGTGATGACCCTAGTGAAGTTTATTAAGAGTAAACCTAGTTACTGCATGTGCATCTGTGTGTGATCCTTTTTACATGTGTGTGATTGTCTAATTATTCTTGCATTTCAATATGTTTGATATGTGCATTTGCATGAATTTAAGGTAATATGATTACTTGGTGTAATTATTTGCATGCATAGAAGGTTAGGATGTATTAGGAGTGTGTTAGATGTCTTTTGGTGAGGTGGAGTTTAGATATCTAGGGGTACATGGTGGTTTGTACTGGGGATGTGGAGTGTGACATTTGAATTATGAGTGGAGATATGATTAAACATCTAGAATCATTTATTTGTAAAACGACCCTGATCAAGTGGAGTGTGAAAGAGGTACTTCTATCACTTCTGTTAGGTGGAGACCTATTATCCACGTAAGTTGGAGATAGAGGATTATCCCATAGACTTAAGATTTATTGTGACCTACCAGTTAGACATGAGTTGGGTGATTAGTCTAGTAAGCATTATGGGCG